ACCCCGTTCACCCAGTGCAACTTTCCTCTCAGGAAAGGTAGAAATTGGTCCCATTCTGCATGTCTGGGCCTCTGTGCTTCACCATGCAATCTTTGAAACATGTCTAAATGTAACTATGTGAAGAAATTATTGCAATTTTGAAACATCCATTTCTCCCACAATCTGAGGAGTTTGTTTCAAGTTTAATCTATACCTGCATACCTGCTTCTGCCAAGGACTCGAGCCCTTTTACAGATTAAAACTCAGTTAAAAAAAAATAGGTAAATGAATGGATGGACAAATAGACAGAGAGACAGACAGCTAATCCATTTAAAAAAATAGCTGACGGAAAATATGTGTCAGGCACCTGGCTTGAGCAGATGAGGATGTTGAGACAATGAATTGAACTTTAAGATAGCTGGCACCCGAGACTGGGGAGGAAAATATGATAGATTACGTAGCTTTAATTTCCCTTTTCACACCAGAGCTTTATCTATAGAGACAAATGTTGTCTGGCAATAATCTCATGCAAGAGATTTTCATTTGGGTTTCATTGGAAAGGTGTTACATGAGAAGTAGACAGCGTCACTCATTATGGTTTCCAAATACAGAAAGGCTTTGTCAATGTATAAAGTCCCTGTGAAATGTCTTGTGAAGGCGAATGGTATCTCAGAAACGTTTCTTCCAGTCACGCTGGAGACAGGGCCCAGCGCTTTGGCTCCCAGGACACGGCGCCCAGACGCCGCCTTAAGAGTGTGGATGTACACCCTGTGGGGCCCCCAACGAGCCTCCTTCCTCCATTGTCAGATGTGTTAAAGCCAAGTTTGGGCACAGGTTGCCCCCACGCATGGATGAACCAACCTCCAGACCTGCTTCTGTGGTGCTGCAGGCTGTCAGTGTGCTTAGAGGGGGCAGACTGGCATCTTGTTCTGGAAGGTTTCAAATCCAGTGTGTTCTGTTGCCCAGAGGGCAGCAGGGCCTCAGCTGCAGGCGTTGTGTCTACAGATGGAAATGCTGCTGCTGCTTTTCCCTCTTTTTCTGGAAGGAGTTCAGCAGCATCTCCAGCTCCAGAACCATAACAGAGATTCCAGGACCTGAGAGGCAGCCCTCCAGCAACGTGGATGCTCATTGGAAATGGTATCGTCCAGGGTGAGAATGGCATTGGGAGCCAAGAGGCAAATCCTGGGCTGTTTGTTGACACAGAAGAGAGCTCGGGAAGCAATTAGAGCCTGAGAACAACACTGAGTTGAATGCTTATAATAAAAACAGCCAGAATGCAGGAAACCCCAGCGTCATT